GCATAAGATTTTGGCGCTCCGCGCGGATTTCTTGGATCCGTGCTGGGCCCCTCCCCCCCGGCGGCGCCGCCCCTGGCGCGCTCCGCGCGCCAGGGAGGGGGGCTCCAGCGGAGCGCCAAAAGTTTACGTCTATGCGGCTCTTTCTTGTCCTTAGATGCCGCTGCACCCCGTCTCCTGAGGGAGGCCCGCGTCGCCACAGCTGGATTCGCGTCGGAATTCTGGTCAGGGAGCACCCTGGGAGAGGTACGGGGAGTACTGGGAGTCGAAGATGGCAGAACGATTTTCCTCTTGAGGCCCAGATGACAAATGCGAAGTGTCGTTGACTTTCATGTTATGGGAGGCTGCGGGAGTTGGCCAGGCCCGCTGTGGCGCTCGAGCACCCACATGTTATGGAGGCTGCGGGAGTTGGCCGGGGCAGCTGTGGCGCTCGAGCAACGGCATGTTATGGGACGGGTTCGGAGAGGTGGCCAGGCCCGCTGTGGCGCTCGAGCTCCCGACTTGGGCACCGCGGTCGTTTTCCCTCCTCTTCTCTCCTCCCTCATCCGCCTCTTCCGTCCTCCCTCCTCGTCCTCTTCCCTCCTCGTCCTCCTCCCTCCTCCTCCCCCCTCCTCCTCCTCTCCTCCTCCTCCTCCTCCTTCTCCTCCTCCTCCTCCTCCTCCTCCTCCTCCTCGTCCATCCTAGCTCTTCCTCCTCCCGCTCTCCTTATGCCTCCCTTCCCCATCACTCGTCCTCCTCCTCTTCCCTCCGCCCTCCTCCTCTCCCGCCTACCTTCCACTTCCCTCTTCCCTCCTCTTCCTCCCTCCTCTGCTCTCCTCCTCCCCTCCTCCTGACTCTTCGTTTGCCCTCCTCCTCTTTCTCGTCTCTCCTCTTCTTCCTCGTCGTCGACCTCTCCCTCCTCTCCGTCCTTCCTCCCTCATCTTCCTCTTCGCCCGCCCCTGGTTTGTGTTTCCCTACTCGTCCCCGTGTGTTGTGTCTCTCGGTACGGAAACCCCTCCCCCGTATAATCATAGCTTGGGCTGCAGGTCCAAGGCTCCGTGGATCCATTTCCCCTTTGGCCCCTTGTATGAATTATTATTATAACTTTATTTCAGCAAAAGAATTTGATCCACGAAGCCTCCACGCCAAAAAAAATGATCCAGAAGACACGGCAATTGGATCTACGTGACTCCCGCACACACGTAATTGGATCCAAATGGATCCGTTCCCATGCAAGAGGAAAAACATTCGGCCTGGGGATGTATATATATATATATATATATACACAAATGTGCATACATATATAGGAAAACGTCAGGATCAAGAAGGATACATGTCTGAGCGGCCCAAGAGCCACACCTACATCACGCGAAGTACAACAGCCAGCAAAACTTGAAACGCCGCAACTCGGCAACTCGGGGGCGGCGTTCGTTCAGGAATGTGCCCAGGAGACTTGAGACCCTGGAGGGTTTCTTGTATGATGAGGGCGACAGCTGTATCCATGGCCAAGATTCAATGGGTGTACTGGCTTCCAGTCCCTGGGTTCTTTATCAAGCGGTTTTTTCATCCAGTGCCTTCACCGTGAATCTTTCGCCGCTGGGCTGGGAGCGCTGTTCCCCCCCCCTGAGAGGATGGGAGGGCGCCCTCCTTTACACTTGTTTACGCCATTCCGCCGACCCCAGAAGGAGTGATAGCTTGCGACGATCATGGAAGTTATCTGGTGGTTCGGAAGCCTCCTTGGGTGCATCTGAGAGGCTCCTGGGATGCTTCTCGGGGGCATCTTGGAGGCCTCGTGGCATCTGGGGGGCTTCGGGGGGGTTCTTGGAGACCTCTCGGGGGCCTCCATGGGGGCCTCTTGGTGGAAGCGCTGTCCCCCCCCCGAGATAGGACCGAGGGGCTCCGTTATCATTCGTGGGTTTCCCGTCGTCCCCGTCCCCGTCCCCGTCCCCGTCCTCGTCCTCGTCCTCGTCGTCGTCGTCGACGTCGACGTCGTCGTCGTCGTCGTCGTCGTCGTCGTCGTCGTCTTCGTCGTCGCCCGAGCGGTGTCGGTACCTTTTGGTTTCCCCGGAGGCGCCCGCAGCCGCCGCGGCGCCAGCGGCGCTCGGGGGCGACGACGACCCCTTCTGAGGGACGACGTCGGCGCCGCTCCGCCAGCGGCGCGGGCGGAACTTTTAGCTTCTGTAGGTTTCGGGGGTGCGGCCGCTCTTTTTTCCAACCTGGCCCGCCTTGTCACAGCCACGCGAGGACTCGGCTGACTCCAGATCCGCCGTGCTCTGGGCGACTTCGCAATAGCAGGGCGGGAGTGTCTTCGTCCTGCTTGTCAGGCTCCTTTGATTCCGATTGCCGCCCTACCTTGCTGTCGCGGCTTCCGCCCCACCTTTGCGGAAATAGCCGCGTCTTTCCTGAGGCGGAAATTAAATTTTTTGTTTTGCATCGTTCGGGGTTCATTTCGGACGCAACCAAAGTACGGTGGATCCGAATTCAGGGTGGCCCGCCTCGTCACAACCACGTGAGGACTCGGCTCGAGACGCTGGCCGGGTCATGAGGTCCGCGGTTCGGTTTTGAGTCTTCTCAGGCCGCAGGCAGGATCGATCACTTCTGGTTCTGAGGCTCGCGGGGAAAAGTATGGAGGGAGGCGCGATGATAGTGATGATGATGCTGCTGCTGATGATGATGATGATAATGATGATGAAACGTATGATGGTGCGAATGCGGTTGAGGATGAGGATGAGGATGAGGATGAGGATATGGATGATGATGATGATGATGATGATGATGATGATGATGATGATGATGGTGGTGGTGGTGGTGGTGATGATGACAACGACGAAGATTATGATGATGATGACGACGATGATGATGGTAATAATGATGATGACGGCCACTGCTGCTGCTGATGTCGATACTGCTGGTGATGATGATGATGATGATGATGATGATGGTGATGATGATGATGATCTTGATGCTGCTGCTGATGATGACGATGATGATGATGATGAGGAGGAGGAGGAGGGGGAGGAGGGGGAGGAGGATCAGTAAGAAAATGCGGACGAAGAGGATGGTGAGACGAGAGGGTAACATGGAGGGGTCGAAATATGATGAGGATGAGGACCGGTGCAAACCCAATATTCGCAAACGATGTTGCAATAAGCCCTCCCTCCAAGTTCCCTTCCCATAGGTCCCTGCACAGATGTTTTTGTCACTGCCTGAAGTGCTCCGTTGGAAGACAACCGTTGGAAGATCTGCAACCACGCCAAAGCACCATTCGTGGGGCTTCATGCCAGAACACCATACACCGCAACTCAACGTGATTGTCGCGACCAGACAACTCTAAACCGTGCCAAAACACCGTTTCTGGGACGTCAGCGATAAGAACCCTGGAACTCGCTGTAAACTGTTAAGACCATGTGCGCGGCGCCAAGGCGAGAGCCACATGTTGAAAAGGAACCGCCCTCCATCCGTGAATCTCTTGCAAACTTTTAAGTCGAGTATGAGCGGCAAAGAGGCGAGAGCCACATTTTGAAAATGGCTTGCCCTCCATCCGTGAAATTTCTGCATACCTTGAAAACGAATGGGCGCGGTGCCAAGGCAAGAGCCACATTTGGAAAACGGCCCGCCCTCAGGCGAATATGCGCGGCACTAAGACGAGCGCCACATGTTGAAAACGGCCCGCCCTCCATCCGTGAAGTTGTTGCAAAATCTCAGCTTCAGTAACATAAGCGATAAGCAAGTCTCAGGCGAAACGCCTGGCCCTCCCTACCGACCCGTCTCGGGGTGCAGGGAGGAGTTAGTTATGAGGAAGAGAGAGGGGGAAAGAGGGAGTGAGGGAGGGAGGGAAAGAGCTAGGGAGAAGTAAAAAGAGGGCGGGGGGGGAGACTGGTAAGGAGGAGGGGGGAGCAGGAGGAGGGGGACTCGCCCGACTGCCACACCTGCCAGGCCATGCTCGAAAGCTCGTTCGCCAGTCCCCTCTTTTTCCTAAGCGCCGACACGCGGCTTGCAGCAGACGGGGAACGTGCATTCGGTGTCCGCTCACCTACATCATATGTCGAAGGCTCTCGGCTTATGCACACCTCGGTTTTGACTCTAGTCACCTCGCTGGCTTCCCGGAAGAGTTGCCCGGCCAGGGGGGCCGGGCCGACGCGTCTGTCCATATCGAGCACGGCGTCAGCATCAGGATGCCTTGATGTTTCCAGGCTCGGTATCGAATAACCGATCCCCATCCCCATCCCCATCCCCTTCGAGACCCGCACCAAATTACCCCCCCCAGTTGGGGACACACCCCTCGAAACCATTCGAAACCCGAAGGGGACGGCCTATATCCCCATCCAGGGGGTCAATCGGACAGTGGGAGCCAGGCCACGCCGCCGGGGATGGGGATCGGTGAAACGGTACTCGCAGGCGGAACTGGACGCTCAGCGTGCCAATCCCCTGAGCGAGGCCCGCGGGTCGAGCGCAGCGGCGAGGCAGGCGGCCCTGACGATCCTCGAGCGGGGGGGCCGCCCTCACGAGGTGCGAAGCTAGCGATCCACAGCTGTGCTGTGAGAGCACGTGTGAAGATAAGCCGCACTCCGTGCAGCGGCGTGGCACTTGCTCGCGTGGATGCGGTGCCGTGGCGCTCAGGCCGAGGCGATGGGCGCAGCAGGGTGAGTGCGAACGTCTGCGGGGCTGCAACGACAGTGGTCGCGTTCGGCAATCATACACTCTGCGGCACTTGTGACGTGTCGGCCCAGGTACACTTGAGCAGGGGGGGATCCCCATCCCCTGATCGTCTTCACCATCACCTTCATCTTTCCCATTACCACCACCATTTCTTGATTTTCGGGTCATAGCTCGGCTCTCCGGCGGGCGTTCAGGACGATGCGGGCACCTCTGGAACGCTCTCGGTGAGGCGCAGCCGCTTGAAGCCGCCCCGAATCTGGAAAGGCGCCGAGAACCGACGAAAACGTCCGAAAACCCCCAACCTCGAACCTTTCCCCCCTCAACGCCAAAGTTTGGCAGTGCCGCAAGTTTGGAGCCGGCGCCAGGCTGTGGACACCGGAGCTGGAGGGCATCGACCCCTCGCGTATGTTCGTCCAGCTGCTCGACTACTCCGCGGACGCGGCGGGCTGTCCTGGCCCAGGCCTGGCCCCCCTTCTGTGTTGCATCCCCTCGACCCCAGGTGAGCGACGAAAGAAAGCGGTGAAGTCCGGCGTGTCCCTCTACAGGAGAATATTCGAAAATAGTCGAAAATAGTCAGGGGACGATTTTTGTTGATTATTGTTTGACTATTTTTAAAATTTTGAACCAATTTTTATTCCTCGCCCAAAATCCACCTGCAGGGGGACATGCCCGACCTAAGAAAACGGGGTCGTCTGCGCCGTCATTGGCGCGTAAGTTGCCCGCGTATGCTCGCGTGTAAGCGCCCTTGTCTCCAATGTAGCGTGTCGCGCTGGCGGCCCACGTAAGCCACCGCGTAAGGTCACTGTGCCACATGGCGTAAGACCCGCTTTTGATCCTCACCAGACGCTTCCCCTGCCAGACAGAAGAGCGGGCTTACTTGAGGGCTGAACGCAGCAAGCTGAAGGCAAACCCTCTCACTAGTGGCCAAGGCGGCCATGAGCCACCAGGCCCACAAGGCGGTCCCGCTTACGGTAGGTTCGCGTCGTGTCGACTGGCGGCGACCCCGCCAGCGGCGTTCAACTTTGAACGCCGCAGGCGACTCATAATCGTTCGATGTGGAACGATTTGGACGTTTCGGAAACGGCCGATCGCTCGAAGTTGAACGATCCCCGCGGTGTAAGACACCAACGCCGAAGTCGGCACGACACGAACCCGCCGTACCTCGACGGTCAACCAGGGCCTGACTACTTCCAGCACCTCGACGACCAAAATGGGCGGGCCTGCGTGGCGGCTTCGGCTGCGCTGAACAAAAACCCACCAGGGCTTGCCGCCTCCCTCAACGAGGACGAAGGTGCAGTGGAGACCCATGCCAAGACACACCCTGCTCCCCTCCAGGGTGCCCTGGTGATCGTTGTTTTATTCATTGTTTTGCCGATCGGCCCGGGCCCTCGCACCACCCCCCTTCCCCCCCTCCATGGAATAGATCTTGGCTGTTTTTTGGCGCCTGTTTCACGCAGGTGGAGGCTCTCCCAGAGGACGCACTGCTGCAAACAGTCGCACTAAGCAGAGGTCCGGAGCCAGACCCCCCCCCCTCCCCCCCTTCCGCCCAATGTCGAAACGCCGAGTGAAAAAACGCTCACCTGTGTTTCTTGTGGGTTTCGGTGGTTTTGCGGCGATGGAAGGCGTGCCGCTCCCACACCAAAGATCAGTCGACGTCCTGGGGTCTCAGGATTGGGGTCCTCGTGGAGCGTTTCTCGTGGTCGGGCCCCTGCTGTAACGATGCCCCCCCTCCCAAAGCCACAGCAGAGGCGGCCAAGGCGATCACGATGATCACCGCGACGCGAGCCAGCCAGGATTCCCCGACGGCCAGGAGCAAGCCGCCAACGGTCGACAGGATGAGACCGTCATCACCAGTCCCCCCACCACCAGGCCAGTTCCTCTTCCCATGATCGGGGGCGGCCAAGAGGGGGGTGATGACTAGGGGGGGGATATCATGGCGTGGGCCATGATATTTCCCCAGATTTCATGGCGCCTCTTCTTATTTTGTTACGTCCCTGGCCCCCCCCTGGGCCGCGCACATGCCGCCGGCCATGATTCGCGACCCCCCTCTTGGACGCCCCCCTCCTGGCCGCCCCCGACAGTCCCCCCACCACCAGGCCAGTTCCTCTTCTCATCAGGGTGCGCGGAGCAGCGAACGGCCAGCGACCGCCGTCGGAACAGGGCTCCGTGCGACGGGGGACCCAGCGAACAGACCGTAGGCAATCCCTATCGCAGCACTTTTTAGGGGCCAGTCGGCAGCCTGAGGGCGACCGCAGAACGGCCCTCATCGCCAGCATTAACGCGCTGCATCAGCGGGCCAATCACCTTGCCCAATCTCCCCACCAAATCCGGGAACAGCCAGCACCTCTGCTTGACAGGTTCCACCGAACACAAGCTGCCTTGGACGGCTTCCACCAGGCTTTCCGACCTGCCGCTTCCCTCGGGGCGCTCCTCCAGGGCAGCCTCCGGGCTCTCCTTGCTGCTCGGCTCGCGGCACACCAGTGCCAGCGCCCCCCCTCCCCCCCAGTGGGCTCCGCGAGCATCTGGCTCCTCTCCCGTCGCCCTTTTCTTGGGAAGGCCCCAGTGGCAGTTCTCGCATGCGTTCCCCGCGCCAGATCCTGGCCTCGATTTTGTTGTGCGGCGCTGCCGATGCCACGTCGTGTTGCGACAGGCCGCTGCTGCACGGCGTTGTGCAGTCCTGCGCGGTGGTATGCCGCACTGGGCTCTGCAGTGGCAATTGCATGCTATGCCCGCTGCGATGTCGATGCTACGATGGCGCCATGCAAAACACATGTTGTTTTGTGATGTGGTACCATGTGCCGTACCATATCATGCGGCACGGTACAATACTATCCGAGTCTGTTCGGGGATGGTTGTGATATGATACGCAGCGCTACGCGGACCCATGCTATGCAGTGAGCACGTCAGTAATCGCCATGCTGCGCTATCTGGGCAGTTCAATGCGATACTATGCTGGTCGGTGGTGTGCGGATCGTATGGCAGAGTGTGATTTGGCACGCCGATGGTCCATTCTTTATGGCAGGACGTGCCACGCTGATACCTGCCGTGTCATGCCTTGCCACGCTAGGTGTTGCCGTGATATGGTATGATGTGCTCTGTTTCAGTCTGTGCTTCTCAGTGCCATGCCAGTTTCCTGACCTGAGAAGGATCGGGTAACGTGTACTGCGTGGGTTTGCGCCAGGCTCACTTCTGCTGCTGCTGCTGCTGCTGCTGCTGCAGGCTGCATGGAGCCCATCAGCCCTCCACTTGCTCGTCGCCCATCCTCATCCCCCCCCCCCGCCTCCTCCCCCCCTCGCTCTGCCTCTCTCCGCGTCCTTCTCCACCTGCACCTCCCTCCTCCACCCTGGTCACTCTGCCCCCCTCCGAGGAAGAGCCCGACCCCTCGTCCCTCTCCCTTGGGGAGCCTGCGATCCGCTGCGGGACCCCCCTTGAGGCCCTGTGGTGGGCGGGATGTGGGGTGGACCTTCGACTCGGTGGCCAGTGGCCCGTCGTGGCCCTTCGTGGCTTTTCCGTGCAAGTGGGCAGTCGCTTCGGTTGCCCGTTGGCCGTGGCCCGTGGTGCCTGCGTGCGAGAGGGCTTTCCGATTTGCCCGTGGCGCTGCGCGACTGTACGGGTCGGCGATGCGTCGTGATTGGTCGACGCGGAGTGTTCTGGCGGCTCATCGCGAGAAGGTGTGCCTCGGCAAGGCCGCTCGCTCGATGTCCGTTTTCGAGGTAGCCACGCGTGATGCACCGCTGAGACACGTTCTGCCCCCGCTGGTCTTGAGTTGGACCTCTGCGCGACTATGTTGGGCGTGGTGATCCCTCACTGCTGCAGCAGGCCTCCATTCAATTCGTGCTGGCGGTCGGGCAAGATATCCTGCGGAACGGCAGATCCTTGGAAGAACGCGTGCAAGGGCTGAGCATGACCAGTTAGCGATGGGCCCGGTGGTGCGCCTGCTTTGTGAGACCCAGAGTAAGAGGTAGTTGGGTGCTTTCGAATAGCAGCAGTTAGTTTGTCGCTCCCCTTCTTGGTCGTTCTCGTTTGTCCTCGACCCTGTTTCCAGTGGCGTTGTTTGCGGATCGTGATCCCGCTGGGC